TTTGGAGTTCAAAAGTTAAGGACACTTGGTCCTTAACTTCAAGTTTCATGTTGAAAAGTTAAGGACAAGCAGTCCTTAACTTATAGTTTCATGTTGAAAAGTTAAGGACACTTGGTCCTGAACTTCAAGTTTCAAGTTCAAAACTAAAAGACATATGGTCCTTAACTTTGAATTACAAGTTCAAAAGTTAAGGACACTTGGTCCTTGACTTAGAGTTACAAGTTAAAGAGATAAGAATATGCAGTCCTTAACTTATAGTTTCAAGTTTAAAAACTAAGGATACTTGGTCCTTAACTTAGAGTTACAAGTTAAAAAGGTAAGAAAAGGTAGTCCTTAACTTATAGTTTCAAGTTGAAAAGTTGAGGACACTTGGTCCTGAACTTCAACTTCCAAGTTCCAAAGTTAAGGACACTTGGTCCTTAACTTCAAGTTTCAAGTTAATGTCGTTTGGTCCTTATCTTTTATGAACACAGTTAACTAAAAATTCATAAACACAGTTAGCTTATGAATTCCTACGACTATTTTTATGAAATGTCCTTACATAATCAAATATATTGATTGAATCACAAACACATTTCACATTTCAATACCAAAAAGTTCTGAATAACAACATCACAAAAATACGCTACTTCTCCGACACTGAATCAACTTATAATGATCGTTTTTGAAATTTCACACATACTTGACACAACATTGATCGTGATTACACATATACAAAAACAAAAATACATAAAAGAAAAAAAATTACCAGTTCGATCGTTCGATGCAGAGAAGATGACAGAGAAAATGAAGAAGGAGAAAGATTAACTGCAGCTCGTTTGCATGCGAGGATGATACTGATGCTGAGAACACAAGAAACTTGCCTTGAAATATTTGCTCTCAAATTTTCCCTTCTGAATGAATAAAACAAGGGTTTGGGAATATAAGAATTGAAGAAAGGGTAAAACTGTCTTTTTCCTATTAGTAGTGGCTATTTTTGCTGAGCATTATAATCAGTGGATAAAAATTAAAGACCCCCTTAATTAGTGGCTATTACACGCCATTTTTACGATATTTGGAGAATTAAGTAGTCTCCAAGAAAGCCCAGTCAAAAGTGATAGATTTTTTGATTTAGCTTTCTTTATTCCTAATCCACCGTTGGTTTTATTAGTAGTAATAGTACTCCAATTTAGAAGATGGAGCTTTTTCTTTTGGTCTACTGTACCCCAAATAAAATTTCTTTAAATTTTATCAATTTATTTCAATATTTTTTCGGGTAGTAAAGTAAATTGCATCACATGATTAAGGATAGAGGCTAGGGTATAGGATGTTAATGTAGTCCTACTGTAGACATGTAATTTTTGACCTTCCCCAAAATTTTACACATTTTAGCGTAAATATTTAATTTAGGTTTAGTATCGCTATTCTAAATAGTGTTGACTCTTTTACTTTACTTTTATCACGAAAAAATAAAAATTACAAAAAATATTTTTCATCTTTAGGTTAAAGTCAATTAGTATATTTTGTTATAAATATATTATATTATGAATGTTCATTTAATATTCCGTTGTAAATAAGCTTCCTGAAGAAGCTTATCCATATGGGACTCCACCGTAAATATGTTTATCTATTTAAGTACTCTATTGGAAATAAGCTTATCACTTCGATACCCGGTTATGGATAAGCATTACCCCCGGTAGAAGATTATCCATACCGGGTATAATAAGCTTTTCCTTTCAGTACCCAGTTATGGATAAATACTATCCCCGGTAGAAGATTATCCATACCGGGTATAATAAGCTTATCCTTTCAGTACCCAGTTATGGATAAACATTACCCCCGGTAGAAGATTATCCAAATGAGGTATAATAAGCTTATCCTTTCAGTACTCCGTTATGGATAAATATTGCTCTCAGTAGAAGATTATCCATATCTGGTATAGTTGCAGCTTACACATCAGCTTCCTTTCTTCTATAAATAGAAGAGATTTCAGTTCATTATGTACATCAGTTTGAATTCGAATAATATATCAGTTTCTCTCTATACTTGTGTTTACTTTATAGTCTTTATTTTATAATATATTTATATTTATAGTATTATAATATTTGAAAATACAAAAAAAATTAGTTTCACTCGTAATATTTAGTTTTATATTAATTTATTTTAATTTAAAGTGATTTTTACATTTTTATAGATATATTGTATTATTTGATCTTTTTAGCTTGAGTTCAAACCCAAAAGATATGGTCCAACCCAATTACCCTTAGCTCATTCTTTCCAACCCATTAATCCACTTAACTACAAGATTTAATCCTAACCATCTATTTGCTTCTAATCCAATGATTATCGTCCCTTTGACGCCTGGGCATCAAAGATCCGCCGCAGGGACTAAACCCCCCCCCNNCAAAATCAGATTTGGTCTTCTTCTCTGTTCAAACAAGAGACCTAAGGGATACAGCAAAAAATCAAAAAGAAAAAAGAGACCCCTGTTCTTCAGCGCAAAAAGATCGAAAGGGACCCCCTTCTACACTGAAAAAATTGCATCAGCTGCTCCTTCTTCTTCACCTCACACCAACCAACCAACCAACTCCCTCACCACCGAACCCGCCGGAAACCAGATCCAAAAGACACATAGATATGGAAGCGGAGATTAAGGTTGCTTCTCCTTCGAAGCATCTTCTATTCTTTTTTTTTTTTTCAATATAATAGCTGCGGATGGACTGCCACAGTTTCCTCTTGTCCTTCTGAACTTTCCAAAGAGTCCAGCTGCTGAAGGTTTCATTCATTCCATGTTGTGACCAACTGCAAGCCAAAAGGGTTCAGGAACATATTCCAAGTTTCTTTTGTTACGTTGCAAAAAGCTCTCGCACTTACACATTCTGACGGAGGTAACATCTATTGCTTAGTTTGAATCCTCCATTCATTAGATTGTCCTTGGTAAAAAACGCTTGACGCATCCGAATCCATGTGATGCAATTTGCCTTTATGGGGGCCTTTGTTCTCAGGAGGATTTTCCAAGGCCAATTATATTTTTAGTAGCATATATATTTGCTGAAATATTACCACTGCTGGCCCATATATTTCCATGGGCCTATTCCAAGTGGCAGAGTAAATATTCTTGTCCTCCATCGAGATTGCATTCCATGCTTGGCACAATTACTTTTCTCCACTAGATCTCTTATTGACAAATATATCAATTTATCGACTTTTAAATTATGTCTCAATTCCAACTTTTAAATCTCTTAAGCGCTTAAAGTGTTATTGTAATATCAAATCTGTTGGAGTATTATCGTGAATGAATCACGTTGAGATTGCTTTCTTTTCTTTTGAACTATCTAGTTAAAATCTAGTATTTGATATGTTGATTTGGCAAAATGTTTAAAGTCTTTTCTTGCTGGTTTTCGTTTGTTTCAACGTGAATTTCCCTTTAAGTCTTCGCACCCCAGCTCCTACTAGCCGGGAATGAGACCTGTTTCATTTCTTTATAAAGTTCCTTTTGATTAAGGTTAGATAACGTGAGTTTCTATAACCAATGGTCTTGTTCACAATGCAAGGTTATAAAATTGTAGATTTGGTGATGTACTAAATTATTTTTAATCATTTGTAGCATGTCTTTCCAGTTAGCTTTTCTTGAGAACCTTTTCATGTGATCAAGCTTTTGGATAATCGTAGTTTGCTTTAGGCGCGATTAGTAAATAAATCATCGTGACTATGGGTACGGCTCCCCTGACATGGTCACGATACGTAATCCCCAATTCGGGTGTGCATTTCATGCGACTCGACCATAACAACTTTGAACTTTAATAAAATAAACATGTCGCGAATCGCGGGTCCATTTCATGTAGCGTGATTTGCGGTGTGTTCCAAAACGACAAGTGTACGACAATCGTAACTTGTACCACATTGGCCTTGTCCGGGTGATACAAAATAGTGAAATCATAGTCCTTCAGCAGCTCTAACCACCTTATCTGGCAGAAATTAAGGTCCTTCTACTTGAATAGATGCTGCAAACTCCGATGATCAGTATAAATCTCACAAGGCACACCGTACAGATAATGATGCCAGATCCTCAAGGCTTGAACAATAGCAGCTAACTCGAGATCATGGATAAGATAATTCTTCTCATGTACCTTCAATTGTCTGGACGCGTAGGCAATCACCCTACCATCCTGAATCAATACTGCTTTAAGGCCAATCCTCGAGGCATCATAATAGACAGTATAAGACCCCGAACGTGTAGGCAATTTCAAAACCGGGGCTATAGTCAAAGCTGTCTTAAGCTTCTGAAAGCTCGCCTCACACTCTTCCGTCCACTGGAACAGAGCACCCTTCTGGGTCAGCCTGGTCATAAGGGTTGTAATAGATGAAAACCCCTCAATATATTGACGGTAATAACCCGCCAAGCCAAGAAAACTACGGATCTCTGTAGCTGAGGATGGTCTGGGCCAACTCTGCATTGCTTCCACTTTCTTCGGATCCACCTTAATACCCTCACTCGATACCACGTGGCCCAAGAATGCCACAGAATCCAACCAAAACTCACATTTTGAGAACTTTACATATAGCTTCTTTTCTCTCAAAGTTTGAAGCACTGTCCTTAGGTGCTACTCATGATCTTCCCGACTCTGGAAATACACCAGAATATCATCAATATAGACAATGACGAACGAGTCAAGATATGGCCGGAACACACTGTGCATCAAATGCATAAAGGCTGCTGGGGCATTGGTCATCCCAAATGACCTAATAAGGAACTCGTAATAACCATAACGAGCCCTGAAAGCAGTCTTTGGGATATCTGACTCCCGAATCTTCAACTAATGATAACCTGAACGCAAGTCAATCTTTGAAAACACTCGTGCACCATGAAGCTAGTCAAACAAATCATCAATATGAGGCAAAGGATACTGGTTCTTCACTGTAACTTTGTTCAACTGGCAATAATCAATGCACATACATATAGTGATAGGTTACAAGTACCTTGGGCACAAGTACTTTACTTTATGTTTTGATGATCTAACAAACTTATCATCCATAACCAGATAAGGAACCTGTTACACATTTACAAAAGCCTGAGATCACAAAGTTCCAGGTTGTGATCTAGCCCTTGGGAAAGTAAGGTGACTGCTATTTGCTGAATCAAAGGACTTGCAGGAGCTGACCATAGAAGAGCTGGTTAGAAATCTGAAGACCTACGAGACGAAGAGGAATATAGATAGAGAAAGAAGAGAACCAAAGAAAGAAAAGAACCTGGTACTCAAAGCTGATAGCAATGACTCAAGTGAGGAAGAGTGGAAAGAACATCTGAGGAAACATGACCCTACCAGTTCCTGAGGAGACTGTATGAAGTCAACTCTCCAGTAGGAAAGTTGTTGCATGCATACGCTATTGTACAAGAACAATGCAGCAGTCAACTTTCTGTGGAAGGTTTTTTACCTTCCTTGCTTACATCATTTTAAGTGATGTCACACATGTATAAATACCATCAAGGAAGGTATAACAACTTACTTCATGAGAGAACCAGATAAAGGACCTGAAGCATGCATGGTACAATCATTCAAGTTAATCGACTCAAGATAATCTGGGTAGTGTGTTTTAGATTCACAGGAACCAGATTAGGGACCTAATACCTTGGTGTTTTCCTGACAGAAGTATATGTCAAGTGTACAGCTGGAAAGCAACTGCAGAAAGTGACTTCCTATAACTGTGCAGCAGATAGTGCAACAGTCACTTCCCATTGGGTAAAGGCATGTACTAACCAAGATTTGACATCACCATTGTCTTTTTGCAATATAAACCTGGTGCAAGACGCAAGGAATCTTCCTCTCAACACTTGTAAAAATCAGAAAAGAAAATATCCTCTCAAGTGCTTGCTACAACCTCTTTCAAGAACAAAGCTGTTGTAACCTCAAGTACCAGATCCAAGATTGAAGATATATTAAGTCCTTAGGTTTGTTGAGTCTTTGTTATTTGTTCTTCAATTGTAACTCCTATCTTGCTTTCTTAGAAGCTGATTTTAGGAAACCTAAAATCACAAACCCTCTAAGTTTGTGTCTTGGCTAGAGTTAGTCGAGTTGTGTCTTTGAAACTAGAGAGTTATAAAGTGGCTTGTAATAGTGTTATTACAAGTTAGAGTAAAAGCCTTTGTATCTGTAGAGTGACAAAGTGGCTTGTGGTCAGAGCATCATAAGTTAGTTAAATTCTTTGTAACTAGGGATTCACAAAGTGGCTTGTGGTAGGAGTACCACAAGTTAGTTGAATTCTTTGTAATAGAGTCATTACAAAGTGGCCTGTAATAGGTATTTACAAGTTTGTGAAGTTGAAAGCCTACAAGTGTAGGTCGTGGTTTTTGTCCCCTTGAGTTAGGATTTTTCCACGTAACAATCCTCTGTGTTCTTTACTTACTGCCGAGCTATTGTGGTAACAATTAGAGAACCTGATTCCCTATACTGGTTGGTTGCATAGTCTGTTGCTTATAGTAGGAATTGCTAGAGAATCTGGTTCACTATACAGTGGGAACTTATCTTGTGTCTCATCTACATACTGGTTCCGCAGTTAGCAATGTACCAAACTGATACATGACCAGATCACTATACAGTTTGGTTCATCAGTATTTACAGTGGAAACTCATAGAGAACCCGGTTCTCTATACAGTCTGGTGGACGCTATATTTCTAATAGTTGGTATCCGAGCGGGTTCTTTCTAAAAAGTTAACACCTATAAAAGATCTACATGGCTGCTCCACCAAACTTTGAGGAAAGTTAATCAACCAATAGACCACAAAGATTTCAGAAGATGGGTCGCAAAAATGGTGGGATCCCTAAGAAAGGAAGTTCCAGTTTGCTGGAACTCCAAAGGAAATGATTGTTGTCATAAGTGTGGAAAGCCTGGACACTTCATCAAAGACTGCCCATTTCTGAAACAAGAGCATCACAAACACAACTCTGACAAAGTAGCAAAAAGTGGTTCCTGACAAACGATTCAGCCGAAAAAGTGCAGTTGACAATATTGTGAAGCAAGCTCTTGCTGCATGGGGAGACACCTCTAGTGAATCAGAAGTGGAACTAGATGCAGGAAGCAGCTCCATGATGGCAATCCAAAATGAAGATGATTCATTGTTTGCATTGATGGCTCAGTCCGATGAGGATGAAGAGGATTACAATGATGAGGTGAATTTCAGGGATGTTTAGAGAAATCTGAAGTCCTACTCTTCGAAGAAATTAATGTCATTAGCAAATGTTCTAATTGATACATATTATAGTTTTGTTAATGATAATGATGCCCTAATCATAGAGCTAGGAGATGCTGAACAATCTAGAGATGATTTGATGGTAGTCGTTGTTGACTTGAAGAAAACCATAGAGAACCTTAGCAAAGAGAAGAATACTCTAGTAGAGAAAATTGCTGCTAACGGAGCAAGAAAGTGATGATATGGTAGTTTCCTTTGAAGATTTAAGAGAACAAATGGAAGAAGTAACTAGAGAACATAACTTGTTGAAAAAACAAACAAAAAGTACTGATAATAGGTTGTGCACTCACTGTGGTCAAACTGGTCATTGCAAGGACTCATGTAAAGTTAAAACTCAGTCTTTGCAGAAAAACAAAATCTTGTTGAAAAGAGGCGTACTGATAAGGAAACTAGTTCCCTGAAAAGAAAATATGTGTTGCCTGCATGCGCAAAAAGAAGTTTGATCCGCTCGTTCTATCATTATAAGTGACCCAGTGACTGCTCGAAGCTCATAACTGGAAGAACAAATGATTTCCTTTCACTGAAGGCCCTGCAAGGAGGGAGTGCATCCGTTGAAAATAACAAAAAAGGATACATTCTGGGAGTTGGAAGGATCGGGAAGCCTCTTTACCACTCTATTGAAAATGCGTACTTCGTGAAGAGGTTGAAGTATAGCTTGCTGGGTATTTCCTGGGATCTTAGCTGTCTGAGTGCGGTTAATGGTAATGCTGAGCTGTGGCACAAAAGGCTGGGTCATGCAAGTTTCACGTTGCTGAATAAATTAGTCAAGAAGGACCTGGTTCGTGTTCTGCCAAATTCAAATTTGAAGGAACACAGAGTGTGTGCTAAGGGAAATATCTGATAATTCAAATGGGAAGGTTGATATGATGAGTCAGATGAAGAAGACAGGTGAATACAATGCAACATCCTCTTCCACTTCTCAAGAGGAACCCGGTACTTCAATTACTACCACTGAAGCTAAAGAAAGAGTTGGAGATGTAGTGAAAGACACTCCACAAGTAGCAAAACAAGGAGTGCAGGGAAATCCATTGCAATGCAAGAGGAACTACATCAATCTGAAAGAAACAAGGTGCGACACCTGATACCTAGACCCTCAGACAGAACCATCATAGGGACCAGGTGGGTATTTAGGAATAAGCTGGATGGACATGGAAATACTATAAGGAACAAAGAAAGGCATGCTGTCCAAGGATACAATAAGGAGGAAGGGATCGATTATGATAAGACTTTTGCCCCTGTAGCTCGCATGGAAGCTACTAGGATCCTCATTGCCTTTGTTTCACATATTGAATTCACCCTATTCCAAATGGATGTGAAGAGTGCCTTCCTGAATGGTTTTTTCAAGAAAGGAGTCTATATCAAGCTACCTCCAGATTTTGAATGTCATGTACATCCTGAACATGTATTCAAATGATAAGACAATAGAAGTACATCAAGAAGCTGTTGAAGAGATTTGACATGAAGACATCAAAAAATCATTGACAGTCCTATCACCATAGCTACTTGTCTAGACATGGATGAACCTGGTTCCCCTATAAATCAGACCATGTATAGAGGTATCATAGGGTCACTTATATAGCAGACCAAATATTGTTTTTAGTGTAGGTCTTTGTGCTGAGTTTCAAACCAATCCAAAGGAATCTCATCTGAAAGATGCCAAGAGAATCCTAAGATATCTAAGAGGGATGCAGGACCTAGTTCTCTACTATCCCTTGGGAGATAACATTGAATTGGTTGGATATACTAATGGTGATTATGTTGGATATCTGGTGGACCGAAAGACCGCTTCTGGAACGACACATTTTATGGGGTCATGCTTGATCTAATGGGGTACAAAGAGACGAACTGTGTGGCTCTTCCTACTGCTAAACCTGAATAAGTGGTTGTTGCTTCTTGTTGGGCTCAAATAGTACAGATCAAGAAACACCTTGAAGATTTTGGTGTATACATTGATTGTGTACCACTTCTATGTGAAAACACCAATTCTCTCAACATGGCAAAGAATCCGGTTCAACACAAGAGAACTAAGCACATTGATGTCAGACACCATTTTCTCAGGGACAATGTTGAAAAGGTTCTGATTTGTATGAAGTTCTGGAAGACGAAGGATCAGGTAGCAGACATCTTCACCAAGGCACTAAGCAAGGAACATTTTGAAAGAAATCGTCTGGAGTTGGAGTTGATCAAGCTCAACGAAGGACCTGGTCCCTCGATGATTGGCTATGTTAAGAAGGAAAGGTACAATGCTAAAAGTGTTTTTCAGTGACATCTAACTCAAATCTCTACTATTACAGGTATACATATATGGCAGTTGCAGGACAAAAACAAGTAATAGTGACTTTGCACTTCTAGGAGTCTTTGCTCAAAATTTTCAAAAACCGTCAAGGAACCCGGTTCCTGCGACTCAGGTTAGTAGTCTCTTCATTACTTATATGCCTTTTTAGCTGCTGAAGTGTCATGTCATTAATTTGTTTCTGCCTTTCTCCTACCTCTCCTCCTACCTTTTGAAGTCCAAAATGTTAAACCTTTTCTAAACTGACCCGCTACCCCAAAAAGGAACCTCTCTATCTTACACCCAAATAAAACCTATTCTTTTCTTCAAAACCAAAATCAACCTTGTCTCAAAATAATCCTTCTTTCCAAATATGACAGAAGTGAACCCAACTCTCTTACTTTCCAAAAACCTAACTCCATCAAAATCAAAACCCCAAGAAGTCTTTGGTAGATTTTGATGGAAGTTTAACTGAAAGGGAACATGGTAAATCTAATATTCTAGAGCGTGAGGCTGAAATTGTGGTTGGATTTGTGGAAGTCTTGAAGGATGGAGAAATTGTTAAATATGAGGACTGAATGAGGAACCTGATCCCTCAAGTCCTTCTCATGAGGTCAATTTTAATGATGATCTTTTTCTCTTTGAAGTTTTGTGTTTAAATGAACTTCCGATCCAGTAAAGAAGATTGAGAAAAGTAGGCTGATTGATGAGGAAGAGAGAATGAAGTGGAAAAATCTCTATTTGTGAGAAAGAATTTTAAAAAAAGGAGAAAATAAAGTTGGCTGAGAAAGATGCAGCAGATGATAAGGGTAAACAGATTGAGAAGAAGAAGAGGGAGACATGGCTGCTTAGGGATAGAAAGGGTAGTGTAAGTGAGAAACCTGGTTCCTTACAGAAGCAAAAGGTTGAGCCATTAGGTTTGGAGGGAGAAGATGTTGAAGTCTCAAAAAATGCTGTAAGGCAGAGTGTTGACTCTAATATTGCTGAAAAATGGAGGAACTTCTTGACATTGTTGAGTTCCAAGAATAGAATCACCTCTTTGTTCCTCCAAGTCCCAATGTTTCTGAATAAGAAGTAAAAAACTTCTATGTTTTTCGTGATACTATGATGCTATATGTGCATGGGACTGATTCTGTTCTTGATGAGACGATGCTTGGGGAGATTTTTGGTGATCTGATTGATGGTTCAACCTACTCAGATAGGTTGAGAACCTGGTCCTCGAGGACCCTTGGCATAATAGAAAGCTAAGTTTAAGGGTGATAATGAAAGATTGAGGAAATAGGTGGAGGAACTGAGAGAGCCGATGATCATTGATCAAAGAAGAGTAAATGAATAAAGGGACAAGCTCATCAAGGCTTTAGCCCCTTACGTTTTCTCCTGCCCAGTGATCCATGTCTTTCACTCCTTCCAAATTCTCCTGAGTTCTTATCCTCTTTTGATCCCTATATTTGATGACATTGGTACTTTAGTGGTTTAAATTGTCATATATATTGTTGAAGCTACTGTGCTTTTATTATAATTACTCCACTGTGGGAAATCACTCTATTTTGTGCACTGACATTCACTTGTTGTTCTTCTTATTATTTATGCTGTATTGCCTAGTGGCCTGAGTTAATGTTGCTGAACTTCTTTTTGGTGGTACTTCTTCTGTTATTCTTTTCGATGATACCAAAAGGGGGACGTTATATAGGTGTCAACATGGGGGAGGAACATAATCGAATTGATATGTTGTGTTGTGCATGAATGATGGCTCTGCTTCGCAGCGGGAACGTTGTTGATGGCTCTGCTTCATAGGGGAAGGATGCTGATAATATATTGATTATCGGTCTGATCCGCAGGAAACATGTGAGGAATTTGGTTCTTAAGAGGAATATCAATTTTGGGTTTGTCATCATCAAAAAGGGGAAATTGATAAGTTATGGTACTTTGAGTTTTGATGATTTGCCAAACAGTCTTGAGGAACCAGTTGTGATCAGCTCCTAAGGTTTGGTTCTCATGGGGAATATGGCTGATTCGTAGGAGGAACAATATGGAGATCTAGTTCTCTGGGGGAATATAAATTTTAAGTTTGTCGTCATCAAAAAGGGGAAAAATGATAGGTTACAAGTACCTTGGGCACAAGTACTTTACTTTATGTTTTGATGATCTAACAAACTTACCATCCAGAACCAGATAAGGAACCCGTTGCACATTTACAAGACCCTGAGATCACAAAGTTCCAGGTTGGGATCTAGCCCTTGGGAAAGCAAGGTGACTGCTATTTGCTTAATCAAAGGACTTGCACTAGCTGACCACAGAAGAGCTGGTTGGAAATCTGAAGACCTACGAGACGAAGAGGAAGATAGACATTGAAAGAAGAGAACCAAAGAAAGAAAAGAACCTGGTACTCAAACCTGATAGCAATGATTCAAGTGAGGAAGAATGGAAGGAACAGCTGAGGGAACAGGTCCCTACCAGTTCCCGAGGAGACTGTATGAAGTCAACTCTCCAGCCGAAAAGTTGCTGCCTGCACACGCTATTGTACAGGAACAGTGCAGCAGTCAACTTTCTGTGGAAGGCTTTTTACCTACCTTGCTTACATCATTGTAAGTGATGTCACACACGTATAAATACCATCAAGGAAGGTAAAACAACTTACTTCATGAGAGAATCAGATAAAGGACCTGAAGCATGCCTGGTACTTCAAGTTAATCGACTCAAGATAATTTGGGTAGTGTGCTTTAGATTCACAGGAACCAGATTAGGGACCTAATACCTTGGTGTTTCCCTGACAGAAGTATATGTCAAGTGTACAACTAGAAAGCAACTACAGAAAGTGTCTGCCTGCAACAGTGCAACAGACAGCACAACAGTCACTTCCCATTGGGAAAAGGCATGTACTAACCAAGATTTGACATCACTAGATCTAGATGGCCACCCTTTTCTTCCTCACCTTGGTACCCGGGAGCCCGAAGACTTCCTTTTCTTCTCCTTTGTGGCAGCCCCGGGCTGCCCTTGAAATAGAGAGTTCCGCGAGCGCGAACATATCTTCGCCCTCATCCAACGGCCTAAGCTCGATGGTCTTGGTCAAACTTGTGAGAAGGAAGAAAACTTAGAAAATATAAGTCAAGTGTATGAATGTAATCATTCTAAGAGAACTCCACTATGAGAACGGGTCTCCCACTTGCCCTTCGAGATCTTGCGCCATGCACGCTCGGAGTAGGGCATCTATGTTCATATGGCCTCGATCCATTCCTTAAAGCGAGGGACTATGTTAGGAACCTGAGCAACTGCTGTACAATAGCCAACACAAGCAATTAGAAAAAGAATAAAAGGGAATGCCAAATACACGAGAAGGAAAAGGCTTACGAGATGGATTCCGCTTTTCGGGAAACGATAGAAATTCAGAGGAGATGAGGTCTTTGGTTTTCACCTGAACGAACCTCCCCTACTACCTTCGATCTCGGTCTACGTCAATGCTCGAGAATGGAGCCTTGCTCGCTCGGCAAACGAGCTTAATCAACACTACTGGAAAGATTCGGGGACTGTATGGACGAAGTAGATGGTCAAAGGCGAACCAAGATGCTTTGGTGTTGTTTACAAAGTGTCGAAGGAGGATTACATCCTCCAAAAAGGACAGGTGAATCAACCCAAGGCAGACCTCGAACCTTTTGCAGAAGTCAAGGACTATAGGGTCCACCAAGGCGAGCGTGAAGGGGTAAGTATAAACACTTAAATACCCCTCCACATGGGTGGTGATGTCTTCGTTGGGCCCGAACAACCACCTTATTGCCTTCCCAGTTACAGTCTACCCGGACTTTGGGTAACGTTTCCTCAATAACGGAGCATATGTACCTCCATGCTCCCTCGCCTTGTTCTTATTTACTGGAGGCCTTCTCGTTGTTGAAGTCACTCCTGATGGAGCATCCCCTGGGTATGAAGCTCTTCAAGGGAGGCTCATGGGCCACCTCAGGGATGGTCACCTCGGCATCTGTGGCCGGGTAGGAAGATGAGGGGGCAGTTTGTTGAGGCACGGATTTGGAAGTTTTTTTCCATTGGTATCTGGGAGATATGAAGGTTTGAAGAAAGGATATAAAGATTTGAAGATGGGATGAAGATATGATGGTCTGAGTTGAAGCTTCAAAGAGAATGTATGAAGACTGAGGAAGAAGATATAAAGGTCTAAGGAGCAATGTATGAAGATTTGAAGGAGTTAATGGTAACTAGAGAATCCGATTGTAAGTCGAAGAGTTATGGAATCAGAAAGTGGAGAAGTGAAAAAGGGTTGGAGTTTTTATAGGAGGAGAACAATCAATATGCGATATTTCAAATTCGAGGGCAATCAACAAGTTGCTGACACGTGTTCGAATTCAGAACGACGTGGTTGATAGGATGTTTCATTGACTCACTTGGTCATAATGTACGAAGGAAGGAATCGGGGTTCACTTTTCGCTTCCCGTTGCTTCGATAAATCTACCCTTCGGAAAACGAGGGGACTATCTATGTATAGGTAAAATAAGGGCAATGTTTACTCTGATTACCCGATGAAAGAATGAAGGGGGAGTAATAATCGCCTTTAACCAGAAAGGGTGAATGATATATCCAACATCGGATATTGTAAAGCGATGCACCCTAGACCTAATATAACTTCTTGACCAAGGGAGACGCGGTGGACGATTGTGAACGACTAATATGGGACTGTAATAATCTCCTTTAACCGAGAATCACGGCATGAATCTCGTTCAAAATTCATTGTGGATCAATAATTACTGGAATTTTTTTTATCTCTTTTAGACTTGTACTAAGACTTAAATTCTCCTACTACATAAAGGAATTTTTTTTCTTCTGATTATATACATTGTAACACACAATTTAAGGAAATAAAAGTTTATTTTCACCTTTTAGATACTGTTAAGAACTTTACTCACTTGCAATATTCTTCATTCACGACTAGGCTCGAACCATGGGTTCAATCAAGGACGAGGTTGCTGTTCAGTCTAAGATCAGGTTTGGTCATAACATTGCGATTGGTTTGATCATTTATTTAGTCTTTAGTTCATTTATTTGCTATTCTTAACTATTCGTGTTGAATTAAATCACACATCCTTTAAACTGCATGTAAATTTAATTGTTACCTAATTTTGGGGTAAACAATTGGAATATTGGTGTATGTAACTAACAGAAGTATAGTTAGTTGTTAATTAGTGTAGTTAGAACTGTATTTAATTGTAACCAGGCTGTTAGAACTGTTAGATCTTGGTTTTAATAATGAAAAATAACTTACTCTTATTGCATGCAACCAAAATTCTGGAGAAGAATACTATATCTGAAAAGTGGACGTTGCGAAGCAAAAGGATCAAGAAAGGAAATCTGAATCAACATAGAATCCGGAAAGTTATCCAAAGAAGGAAGGTTAAGATAACATAATCAATCCAGATGGAAAAATTGTTATTGGTCATCAATCATGAACACCAAGAAATATCATATCAAATAGGAATATGGGAGATTTGCAAGGCCAATCAGTTACGCCATTCAAGGGAAGCATGCCAATCATATTGAGCTTCAAGGATCAATTACAGTAAAGTTACAACCTTGTTCTTGGAAGGAATCAATTAAGGTTCACTCCAAGGATCAATTCATTCGGGTTGCCTATCTCTCAAAGATCTGCTCCGGCCAAGACCCATATTAACAGATCGTCCCTCAAGATATAGATAAGGGATATACTTTGATCAAGCCAACCTCAAGCTGTTTGTTCTACTACAACAAGTATCATAGTCTATTCTAGATTTACTGTGAAACTAGTGGAGAGAAGAAAGAGAAAAATATTATTGGTGAGGCATTGTATCAAAAAAATATAGAGAGTTACTTGTGTTCTAAGAAGCAATTGGTGTATGCTTGGCAACATCAACTCACTTGTACCGAGAAATTTCAAGGAACTTTGAAGAGAGAACCCTCTTGCAACTCAATAGGACTAGACTAGCAGTTACATTGAATCCAAACTAGTATAAAAATATCTGGTGTTATTTACTTTATGACTTTTACAATTTGTCTTTACTATTTGCTTTGCATCAAATCTTAGTAGACAAATTGGTAAACCAGTCAACAACTTAGTCAAGAAAAAAAAGGACAATAATTTATCCCCCTTGTACTTTCAAGAAGTATAGCTAGGAGCTAAAGTCACTCAATATATTCCTTTGATTTTATACAGTCACAACTAGTGAGAGTACTTATGCATCTTCGGCCCAAAGTTCCTTCAACTTCATGAAATTAACTAAGACAAAGTTAGCAAGCTTGTGATATTGTAGAAATTTCTCAATGCAATTGAAAAATTTGTGCTCTGATTCACTTTGTTGAAACTCTCTCATAAATCCTCCCAAAATGAGTGAGTGTCTGATGCATACATGATTCCACTAAGCAGGTTCTTTGACACTCTATTCATGATCCAAGAGTGAACAATTACATCGAAAATCTTCTAGTCTTCATGCAATTCCTTCTTAAATAAATCCTTTTTGCAAGTGCTGGTATAAAGTCTAACTTTTGCTTACCTTAGAGTGCAATTTGCATTGCTCCGTGCCTTAACCTATAGTTTTCAAATCCAATAAGTTGAATTGGAATCAAAATCGAACTAAGAGTATTGGAAGGATGCATGAACCAAGGATGAGTATGATCGATTTTGTTATCTGCCATTACTGAGCTATGAAAAGAATAAGAACGATAAATTTCATAGTGTAGTGATGAAAAAATTCCGATCACTACAGCTCTGATACCATGTGAATTATTGAATCTGAGCCAGGATTCAAGCTTGAGATTGACTTATCCGTAAAGTAGAAGATGATAGGAAAGTGATAAGCTATGTGTCTTTTGTTTTGATGACTTGACAAACTTCGTGAGAGAACCAGATAGGGAACCTGATACAATTGGGTTCCTCGGTGTTTAGAGCAACTAGTCAAATGTATGGTTCAATTCTCAATAAAATCAAACAAGGAAACAACAGAGGGAACATATAGGGATCAATTTCTCCGATCATAATATAAGTCTGCTTTACGCTTGTTAAAGTTGTTGCACTATACTCGCAACAGTACAACAGCACTGTTGAAGCGCGCTGTGTACCGGATACTCCCTTGCATCATCTTTGATGACCTCTCTCATATATTATCAACATAAGGTAAGGGATCTCAACACACACTTGAAAAACCTAAACATTAAATTCTCTCAAGTGTGCAGCCACCCTTATTCTCTCTGAGGCATTGAAGAACAAAGCAGCAACAGAACAAAGGACCAGATCCTAACTTACTGTTGTGTACTGTGGGAACTGATAGAGAACCAGGTTCTCTATATAGTTTGGTGGGCCCTTAGTTTACGTCGATTGGTATCACAGTAGGTTCTTTCTAAAAGGTTAACACCTAGAAAGGATCAACATGACTGCTCCATTAAATTTCGATTAAGGACAATCAACCTACAGACCACCAAGATTCAATGGCCAATACTATGACTGGCGGAAGATAATAATGCATGATTTTTATACACATTAGGTAACCTAAGGTCTTGGGGATAAAAGCTCATTTAGGTGGAATATGGGTTGCAGATAACGAATTATCAGTAATCCATTTGGTCAATTCATCTTTAATTGCCTTTTATAATTATGTTGTGCGAGTCCGGGGAGGCGAAGGGGCGTACGCCAGCACCACGATTGGTTTACATCATGATTTGGCTTATTAAAAAGGATTTAAAATGTTGTTATCAATGAATGCGGACACCTTTATACTTCCCCATTACCCTTTTAGATAATATCTAGTCATATTCAATATTTGTATCAAACTGACGAATATAATATACATAATTTATATACACATTTTTTATTAATTATGGTTAATATGTATTTATTTAGAAATAAGCCGTGTGAATATTCTAACCACAAGGTGCAATTAAAATTGTGAAGAGTTGTACTGAATTTCTCTATCCTTAACCAGATGTTTCGGGTTCGATTATTGAATATAAATTTTTAATCGAATCCTTAATGGAGTTACCGAACATCAAGTAAAAAACAAAACAAAAAAGATACAATTAAGTACTATTGCTCTTTGACTCGAACTCAATATTTACCTAAATTAATCCCTAGGGCATACAACCAAAAACTTTAAGTCCTATGAATTCAACATTTAAAGATTTTAGTATTGATCACAATATATTTTTAAAGTTATGGGCTTATATCTATTATATTTATGATTTTAATAAATTTTAATTCTACGTCAAAAAGTTACAGGTTCAATTGAACCCGTAAATAATGCATTGCATCTACCCCTGCCAAGAAGTTGTTAAATTCCTCCAACTTCCGTCCATCCATCTTCAATTGGCATCATAAATTGCAACAAATAATGTCTTATCTAATGGGCTGGCACTGTTGTCATCATGCTTCTGTTTTTATGACATCAAACCATGACCCTCTCACCCCTCCTCCCTTGGGAAAATTCCATCTAAGTTTCCAAACTTTGCAAGTGAAATTGAGAGTTTAAATTAGCGACCCGTTTGGTCAGATTTTGCCAAAATAAATTTGGATTTTATTTGATAAAGATATATTTAGCCATAGATTTTACCTATATTTTGGCAAAATCTCAAATCCTAAATTCCAAAACCAGCTCAATAACTGATTTTGGGCCAAAATTTTTACAAACACTAATAATATACATATTTTTCCAAAATAAATTTGGGAAATATGTTTTGAAGATGTATGTCCAAACAAATTTTTATCTTTAAAAAAATTTACCCAAATTAAATTTTTTCAAAACAAATTTGAAAATTTATAGTCAAAAACAAACTAGGAAAGAGGGTAATGATCAGATATACATAAAAGGTTTTTTGGTCTCTTTGATTGGACCGCTTTGATTCCGTTGTCATTTCTTCCCACATCGCAAAACGTCTCACTTTATCCCCTCTCCCCGCTTTCTCTTCTCTTTCTTTTAGAAGATTTTTGAAAAATTAATTTATTTCACACATCTCATTTATACTGTTACAAGCTCCTGAAGTCGATTCATTCGATGGTCACTCAACTTATAAAAATAATTTATTAAAGTTATTTGTTTGTCATGGAACAATAAAAGTCATCAAATTATTATTTTTTGATTTAGAAAACAAATAAAAACCAATTTAACATGCCATGTTATATTTAAGAATTCATTTAACCCAGGGGCGGATGTACATGCTAATTTTAGGTGCTCAAGCACCCATTAACCTTGACATAAACTATGTATAGCTATAATAAAAATATAAGAAATTTGTTTTGAAATACAAGCAATTTAGTAAAACATGAATAAGAAATAAAAGCAATTTAGTAAAACATGAACAAGAAATAGAGATAGAGAGAAGGAAGAGATTTTCTTCTTCAATTGTGTGTATTTTCCTATCTATTACAAGTCCTTTATATAGGCATAAAAAGTGAAGAAAATATGTCATTGAATATACAAAATATTTCATTGAATATGTCATTAAGCATTTGAGATGAAGATCATGGAAGAAGAGTAGACATCCACCATAATGTGATATTTATCATAACGCTCCCCCTTGGATGTCCATAGATAATGTGCCTCGTTAAAACCTTACTAGGAAAAAACTCCATGGGAAAAAATCCTAGTGAAGGAAAAAGAGTACACATGTTTAGAAATACGTTTTTTGGTTGCCTCGTTAAAAACCTTGCAAGGAAAAACCCAGTGGGACAAAACCTTGTAAGAGAAAAAGAGTACAACGCGTATTAACTCCCCCTGATGAGAGCATCAGTTCACATCCTTGATCATTCACATCCCAATCTTGTAAACTAGTTTCTTTAAGGTTGACGTCAGTAGAGATTTGGTGAACAATCAGCCATATTATCACTTGAACGAATCTGTTGCACATTGATATCACCATTCTTTTAAAAATTATTTATGAAAAATAACTTTGATGAAATGTGCTTTGTCCTAGCTCCTTTTTATGAATCCTCCCTTTAATTGGTCTATGCATGTTGTATTGTCTTCATACAAAATTGTGGGTAGTTTGTAACACTTCAAACTACATTTGTCTCGAATAATATGTATTATAGACCTCAACCGTATACATTCTCGACTTTCTTCATGAATAGCAATAATCTCAGCATGATTAGATAAAGTAGCCACGGTTGATTGCTTAGTCGATTGCCAAGATATGGTAGTGCCTCCATATATAAACACATAACATGTTTGAGAAGCATTGTGTGTGTCTGTTACAACCCATATCCACATGTGTTAGTTCATGCCATATATTAGTTAACATAAATCTAAGAAGGAATTATCTTTGAGATGATAAGAAGTCAATCCTATTGGTCTTAAGTGATACAAGAGTGTATAAGGGTGATTAACCAGTATTAGAAGTTAAACGAATCAAGGATGTTGTAACTCGTATTTTCAGGTAATCTAGCGGTGCTTAATACACTCAAGAGGTCATTTATTAAGGTATTTTAATCATATAATATCCGTATCATAAGTCTTGAAGTCAAACGAGTTATGAAACAAAAGTCGACAAAAGTTGTCGCAACTTAGGTTCATAATTTTACTTAAACATTAGGTCAAATGTTTCTAATCTTTTCTCATAATTTACAAGGAATTACGGGGTGATCTACCAACCAAATTAAAGATCTATGAGTCTAGTTTCCAACGCATTAAACCGTTCATCGATACGATCTCGTGGTAGAGAGATATTCGCGTTTTCGCGAGACTGCGCCAAACACCTCTCTATGGGGCCCACTAAGGTGGTTTAAGATATTTGGACCTATATAGGATGCCTCCAACCCGTTTTAAGTCATTTATTCTCACTATTTTCAGACCTTAGAACCCTAGGAACATCCTCTCAAGGTTCTCTCAAGATTCAAGACCCAAAAAAAGGGCAAACAACACAAATCAAGTGTCGGGAATTCCGTGGCGCTAGTAAGTCTCTTGTTCTTCT